TGATTAATTGAACAATGATGATTAACGGAAGTTGAAATAACAGAAAAAAAAGAGAAAGAAACATCAACAACAATTATCATTTCAAACGGAAGTGGTCATGATGATGAATCAGAAATATAGATGAAAAATAAAAAATCAAGAGAAAGAAAAAAATAGAAAATAAAAAATGTAAACTTTTCTATCAATCCATCAATTCATCATCATCATCATTATCTTCATCTTCTCATCTCTTTCTATACATGTTTTTAAACCAACCAACCGGCTATCTACATGTCTGAGCTTTCATTTCCACCCACCGTCACCCCACCCATCCCAATTTTCCCATTAGCCCCTTACAGATCAGACCTCATCTTCATCTTCATCTTCTCATCTTCTCATCTTCACCAAGATCATCAACATGAAAAGATGTAGACGGGATTTTCCTCCAATTGGAATGTCTTGTTACGTCAATTTTTCGATACAAAATAACATTCCCATCAGATTATCTTCTTTACTCTTTATCATCCTCATCATCTTCACCACCATCACCATCATCATCATCTCTCTCTCTCCTTTAGTTTATATATAAAAAAACCGCTTTTCCAAACTTTTATCATCATCAGTTTTTTTTTGTTTGTTACAATCCTCTTATCATGAACACACTGAATACTCATTCACTCAATTTAATATCATCATCATCATTATAGTTATTATATTTATCATCATCGGTAAATAAATTCAAAATTAAGGTTAGTCTAATCTGGTTAATAATAATTTCTATCATCATTCTCATTCTCATTCTCATCATCATCATATTGTATTAAGATTGATATGAAGAAAGAAAAACTTTTCAATCCTAATTATAAACTCGAGTTAATATTCAATCACAATAATAAATATACGAGAGATGATGCTGAGAGTCGGAGAGAGAGAGAGAGAGAGAGAGAGAGAGAGAGAGAGAGAGAGAGATGAAGATGATGAAGATGAAGATGAAGATAAATCTCTTTTGTCTGTTATTATTATCATCATCATCACAAACCACATTCAAATCTTAATCATACAATTGAAATATTATAACAATGATGACGATAATAATAATAATCATTTACGCAAGGTTATCTTAATCAGAGAAATAGAAAAAAAGAAAATTTTTTTTCTCTTATTAAATTAACAATGATGATGATTAACAATCAAGTAGAAATACAAAGTTACTATTTGATCTGTATTGTTATTTAATAATAATATTAGGTTTTTCCAGAATCAGTGCTAAGTTTATTTAAACATGATGGTAATCAACTTAATCATAATCATCGTAATAATCAAACATACAACAAAATTTAGCTTATCAAGTGTCTTTGATTGTGATTAATTATCATAATCATTTGAATGTATTATAATTTGTTGTTGTTGCTTTTGTAATTTTCACTAGGAAAAAAAAAGGTTAACAATTAACAACCATTTACAATTTAAATTGTTGTTGTTATTCAGATTTTTACCTTTGATTTAATTCACTTTCTTGTAGGATGATTAAGATTACTGGTTAATTATTTAATATCAAATTTAATCTTTGAAAACCTACACTTTGGTTAATTTAAATTCGTTGATTGTAAATCATAATTCACTTTTTTCATCCTTGATTACGTTACTTTTATGCATTTAAATTGATTGTTTGTCATTAATTGTTACATTATATTGATGATGATTATTTGTTATTTACGTCAATTGACAATCAACAATCAATAAACGTTGGTGTTCAATTAATTTCATTTGTAATTTACTTTTGTAGTTATATAATAATCAACAGTAATTGTTAATTTGTTTCCCTTTTTGTTTCTTGATTGTTATTAAATTGTTACCTTAACTTTTTTTTTAATATATTCATTCATATGTTAATGTTAAATTGTCTTAATATTTACCTAATTTAATCTTCAAGTTTAAATTGTTGTTTCAAATTAAAATGGTAACTAAATTGTACGCACTAATTTTGATGATTAAAATGATATTAACTTAGTTAATTTGAGACTAATTAACAATGGAATTAAATTGTTGTCAACTTTCTATGAATAAAAAAGTTGGAGAAAAGAAAATTTTCTTACTTGATTGGTTAATTAACGTAAAGACGATAATTAGGAAAATGTTTTTCTCTCAATGAATCAACAATTAAGATGATTGTGAGTAATATTTTTAATTGTTTTCCATCAAAATATAATCATGACAATCATTTAATTGACTGCAAACTACAAACAATCAATTTGATTCAATTCATTTTGTTTCACATTGTGACTCAGTCTAGACTTTATTTCAAGTAATCAAATAAATTGTTTATCATCATTAACTTAATCATCATGATGATGACACTGAATTGAATGGGAAACTTTGTTATCATCATGATTACCATTGGATTTCAGTGTTTACTTTTGATTGGATTTTTCTTTTCTCATCTTTCATGGTGATAATAACTTTTTGATAATCACCATCACCATCATCATCATCATCATCATCATGATTATCATCATAATCCTTGATTCAATTGACAGAATTCAATTCACAATTAGATTCTAGTCTTTTCTGGACTCAAAGTCCATTGACTCTTAACTTAAGGTTACTAGACTTTTACTTGATCATCATCATTGTTATTGTGTTATCATCATCATCATCATCTTCATCTTCATCTTCATCTTCATCACTGTCATTATCATCATCCAGACAAATGAATGTCCCAGACAATGAAATGATAATCATTTTACATGGTTATCGATCTGAACTTTTTTCCTTCTTCACCTAAATCACAATTCTGAGAAAAAGTTTGAAACTTTTTTTTTACTCTCTTACTTTTCTCATGGTTCACTTAATTTATTGCATCATAATCATCACCATCATCATCATCATCATCATCGTCATCCTCATCCTCATCATCAACAATTGAGTACTTGATTGTATTTCATTTAATCAAGAAAATTAAATTAATCTATGAAAAAAAGTTCATTGAAAAAGTTTAAACTGTAAACGATTAACCTTTTGTTTCGAGTTGTTGTTTTTATCATAATTATTATCATCATCATGATTTAATCAACAAAAAAAAAGGTTAATCATGATAAAAATATGATTAAATCATAATGAATTATAAGAAAATGAGAGAAAAATAATAATTAATAAACTACAATCAAGAGCAATTAACTAAGTAAAATTTTCGTTTAGTACGAAAAATCTGATTGTTGCAGATGTAAACAAAACATTGAAAATTTACCAACAATTAACAATCAACCATGTATATTAATATGATTTATTTTAATTGTAATTAAAGTAGATATATGGAAAGGGTTAGATTTATATAAATTCAATCGCAATTAAGCTTGCGGGTGAATAAACAAAATGAAAAGTTAATTAATCATAAAACGAGAAAAACAAAACCAAGAAAAATGTTTAATTAAGATTCATGATTATATCTTAATGATAATTGTGATAATCATCATCAACTTATAAGCAGCTGATTAAAGTAATCAAGGTAGAGGGCAATTGAATAGCAATTAGCTACAATTAAACACCAATCAAATCAGCTAATCATACAGAAAAAGGTAAAAGATCAATAAAATAACAAGAATGATAAAAAAACTGATCGAAAACAATTAATGAGACAATTTAATTTGCCCTTAATTGTTTACTTAAAATTTAGTTTTAATCAAATTGACACAAATTGTCAAAGTACAAATGAACTTAAGGTTATGGAAACACTAATTAGGAGGTGGATTAAGTTAATCATCATGATGATAATCACATCAACAAGAGGAGTGATAACTTAATCATATCATCAGAAATGATATTTTTACATTGTAACAATTTCAATTGTTTTTTAATTGTTTGGTTGGTTTCACTAAATTAACTTCTCATCATCATACTCACACTATTTTACAATTGATAGTAATCAAAGTTAATCAGTTTATAATTAAGGTAAATTATATAGAAATGAACAGAAATTAAGTTGACAAAACTTTAATTACTATTATCTGATCATCAACCTTAATCATTTTCAAGGTAAATAGTATACACGTTAAGTGTTATAAGGTTTCCAACAATTAACTTAAACAATTAACAATTGTAGTAAATTGATGATAATCAATATGTTACATTGACAATATTAATAATAATGTTCAGGTAATTAAAGAAAAAAAAATTCTATTAGTTAATTGATTAACTAAGGTAATCATTTGTAAATCTGTTTACTATTATAACAGAAAAACAATCAAGCAAATAAGATTAATGATCTTGATGATAATCAACAATGAAAGAATAGCAAGAAAAAAAAAGTTAAAATTAATAATATTTAGTTAATTTTTCGCGTCTTAATTATCATTTGAATTAATTCAGATGATAATTATATTGATATAATCATTAATAATCTTCAATACTGACCTTACAATTAAGATGAATCCTTTTTAATTGATAAGAGGAAAAAAAAGAAAACAAAACAAAAATTAGTTGATTAAAAGTGTTTATAGTTAGTTAATCAAGTCACGTTAATTGTTGTTAACTTTAACCAATGGTTAATTGTCCCTCGTTCAAAAGTTTGTTAGTCTTTGTTAGTTTTTGGTTCTTGTTGCTTTTTTTGTATTAAACTTGATTAAATGTATTTTAATTGTCACATTAATTGTTTTCAATTAACAATTATATTTACATATAATCTACTATTGAATAGATTATTAAATATCCAAAGATATTTACATGTAATGTTATTGTGTATCTATTGAGTTATTTATATATTAAATCATCAACAATTAATTAGATTAATTGTTTATTAACAGGATGATGATGATGATGATGATGATGATGAACTGATTAATCTGTATTTCAATCAGATTAATTTGATTTGGAAACTGTTTGCTTGTCGTTTTATTTTTAGGTTGGAAAAGATTATGATGATTAGTAAGATGATAGGGATGAGGAGGAGGAAGAGCATGATGATGATGATGACGATGATGATGATTAAGTCTCAATGGTATGATTAATTATTACCATGATTATAATCTGTTTTTAAAAACAAATTTAATTGATATTCACATGGTAATAATATTAACATTGGTGGGCAATGTATAATAATAGTATATTATTATTATTTGAAAGGCATAAAGCTGAGTCAATTGAATTATTAGTTAATTTGGATAGTTGAATAACCTTAACTGATAGTTTTATGTCAGTTTTTGTAATGGTTTATGATGATGATTATTATCATCATGTTCATGATAAGAATAAAGATGATGATGATGTTGATTCCTGAGACTTTCCTGGAAACTACGCTGGTGTGTGTGTGTGTGTGTGTGTGTGTGCGTTTGTGTGAGTGTAAAGGCGGTGTAGTAACAATTTGTTAAGCAGAAACCATTAGTCTGATTCAATTCATTTTTTTGTTGAATATTTTTCATTGATTCATGAACAAATGATGCTGAAAAGCTGATAATGATGATGGTTATGATGAGAAATCAGTAGAAGAAGAGGAGAAAATATGTATGAAAGAAGATGTTGTTAGACAGATTGATGATTTTTGTAAGATTCATTTTTTTTCAGGCTTTCCCCTGAAGGCGAGTTTTCTGTTCCATCATCATCCTCTGAATTGGCATGATACCAAAGGTGTGACTCATAATGAGGATGATAAAAACAGCAATAGTCTGCAACAAGTAACATGTAAACATGAAAGAGATGATGAGGATGATGATGATGAAGAAAAAAAAGTAGTAGGCATCATCATGAATCTTTTACAGGCCAAAAGGATTTACTATATTTATAAGAAGAGAAAAAAAAAGTTGAATGAGTGAGTGAAAATTGTTATGAATGAGTTTTAAGATGATGGTGTAGAAGAGTGAATAAGATTAAAAAGAAGAGGAAGAGGAAGGATGATGATGAAAAATATTCCAACGAAACCAGTTGATGATGCGTAGACAATATGAGAGCTTGTATGGTTAATATACATTTCTAATGGTTAATAATTAACATTAGAATATTTTCCTCTCTTGGTCATATTTTCTCTCTCTCTCATTCTGTATCTTTCTTCCTCTTTACAGAGGAACTTAAAGTTTCTTTTCGCTTTTTCTTCTCGTTTTTTTCTTCCAAATATTGACAGATAGATGATGAAGATAACACCGAAACACACACACTTTAAATATTATCTTAGATCATCTGGGTTACCATGGGGAAAATTGCTAAAAGAAAAAGAGAAGAGTAAGAACCAGAAAATTATCGCCGGGTTAGAGGTTAGTTATTTACAATGGTAAAGGTGTGCCAAGGGTGATGAAGATAATGATAATTGTGTTGATAAATGTAATGATGATGATGATGGAGAGAGAGAGAGAGAGTCGAGGTGGATGATTAGAAAGAGAATATTATTGACAAAAGATGTTGTTATTGGTGATGATGTTGGTAGTTACCTTGAAACGCCTGATGAAATATAAATAGTAATATATTGAGAGAGAAATGAGTGAGTGAGTGAGAGATGAAGAATGTATAAGCGTCGGTTGATTGGAAGTTAAATGTTAGCTGATTGGGCTCCATATTATCCTCCTATTGAATCAGTAATCATGATGATGATAATGATTAGTATGATAATATCAATGAGCTATTTGAAAATGTGGGAGACGTTTTCTCTTTCAATGGATTAGTCAATTTCCGGTGTAACCAAAGCTTTCAAATGGTGTATTGTTGTTGTTGTTGTTGTTTATACCCAATATACACTAAACATATTCATCTCCTTTGACCTCAACAAAAAGTAAAGGTTAAAACTGGAGACGATTGAGAAGGATGATTAAGATGAAGATAAAAGATGATGATGATGGTGAAATGGTGATGAAGATGATGATAGAGATGAAACAAATATCAACTTGATATTCAACCGATATTTATAGAAACATTTACCAATCTTCAAAATGAATCAGCTTAAGATCTTTCATCCATAAAGATCAATCTCTTGTTGTTGTTGATGTAATTTATATATAAATGGTATGTATGTTATGACTCCTTGAGTAAACATGGAAAAGAGAAAGAAAAAAAAAGAAAATATAAAAAAAAAGATAATTAGAAATTGATCAACAATTAAAAGAGATAAACTCACAATTAACAAGATTCCAAAAACGAACATCTCTTTTTCCTTAGATTAATTGACTTGATATTAATTAGAGAAAAAGAGAAACAATTAGAAGAAGAAAGAAAAAAACATTTAATGTTAATCAATAATTAGAATAAAAATCAAATAAAAACAAAGAAGAAAAGATGAAAAACTGGAATTAACCGGAATTCGTTTGACTTTTTTTTTCTTTTTTCGTCAAAATGGCGACACATTTTCTCTTCTCTTTTTAATTAGAATTTAATTCTTTTCTCTTTTCTCTTTCTCTTCATTGGTCAAAACATTTTCTCTCCTTTAACCTTAACCCTTTTTCTTTAACTTTGAATTGTGTTTTTCTCTTTTCTTTTTTTTTGTATTGTTTGAGTTTTCGAAGGCAAATTTTTTTCTCTTTTCTTTTGTCTTTTTTGTTGTCTAATTGTTCTTCTTCTTCCATTTCAATTTATAACAATAAAGATGAAAGAAGAAGATACGAGAAATGTCAGAAAATTCTTGACCTTTTATCTAAATCAGATTTCATCTTCTCTCTCTCTCTCTCTCTCTGTCTGTGTGTTTACTTTTCACTCTCCCTTTTTCTTTCTCTTTGTGTAAACTTCCTACTCTTTTAATCATCGTAATTAAACCTTCATCATTAGTCAAATATTAATTAGTATTTTCGTGTTTTCTACCTACAAATTTGTACCAATCGACATTAGTTGTACATCATTAATCGTTTTTCGCATCTCTCTCTTTCTCTCTCTAGCGCCTCTAACCATACAATTTCCAACTATCTTTCATTTCTCTTTCTTTTCTTTCTCTTAGCCGGCCTTCTCTTTGGGCTTTTTGTTTCTCTCTCTCTCTCTCTCTCTCTCTTGCTTTCTCTGTGTGTTCTCCTGTGTGTATTTACTTATATAAGTGTTACCAACGTTGGTTTTTGTTATCTTTCTTTTTCCAACAAAGGAAAACAAAATGGCTTCTTTCCCAACAACCAGATTTTGGGTTTACAATTAACAACAAATTTTACCCAATTTATTACCAAAGTGATCATCTGTTCTGTACAATTTTGTTATTTGGTTCGAAAAATTGATTCGAAGGAAAAGAAAAAAAAACTGTTTCCATTTCCATTGATTGATTCTTGGAGAACAAGCAAATTATCACCAACATATAAAACATCATCACCATGTGTAAGCTTTTTTTTATGTGTGTTTGTTGATGTTACTATTTGTTCAATATGTGTAATCCAGTTTTCGTTCAGGTAAATATACGTAGGAGAGAAAAGGAGAGAGAGAAAGGAAAAGAAAAGGTTAATCAATTCAATCCACCGTTGACTTTGAGCTGTTATGTTTGGATAAAACAAATACCATTTTAATTGTAACACTTACTACACATCCTGCTTAAAACCATCACTATTTGAGTATAAAACTACTTTGTAACAACGTTTCTCTCTCCCCCTCTCTCTCTCTCAGTGATAATCACCATCCATAGTAACCTGGAGAAAATGATTCTGACATTATACTGATTATGGCGATGATTAAAACAAGGTGAACAAAATTAAACAAGAAAAAGTGACGAGTACAACTTATCAAGTAAGTAATTTTAGTGCATAGAGATAACCAACTTTGTGTATTCTGTGTGATGTGTTTATTTATATAAATTGTGAATGTTTATCAACTCACAACCACACACATACTCACTCATTCACTCAGATGACGTGTTTTCCTTTATCATCCGAATCAAATAACAATTATTGATTTGATTAGAATAATTTTCAGGTTAATTATTAATACATGGAAATAGATTGAATAAGTTAACATAAGACAGCAACGATTAGAAGTGAAAATATTTTCATCACTTTTTTTTTGTGTCGCATCACTTATGTTATAACCTTTTAAAACAATATCATAATCAAACATGTAACATGATGAATGGATTTTGATGTTTATTTTTTAATCAAAGTTGTTGTCATCATTGATTAAATACAGATATTTTTATTCATATTCCCATAGTAAAAAAAAAATGACAAGTGAGAGTCTGGTACAGAGGAGTTACATTTATTAATTGTAATTAATTTAGCTTTGATCATTATTAAATAATGACGTTTATAATTATTACTGAATGATGATGATGGTGATGATGCTAATGATGATTATGATCTCCATGATTCATGGATCAGAGTTAATGACTCAATAATGAATAAAAAAAGGATAAAGTAAGAGAGAGAGAGAGATGTAGGGAGGAGAGAGCGAAATAAAGATAGAGAAGAAGACGATTTCATCTTCATCATCATCTTATTTTTTCGCTTTTTTTTATCTTTTTCCCCATCATCATCATCTTCATCATCTTCATCTTCATCTTCATCATCTTTTTGTTATCCCCCAGTTTCTCATTCTTATTTCATCTCCATCTCTCTCTCTCTATCTCTATCCATGCCTTTTATCTCCTCCCCCGTCTGTCTGTTTGTCTGTCTGTCTGCAGTTTTTCAATATTTACTGGATATGCTGGTGAAGAGAGAGAGAGAGAGAGAGAGAAAATAGTATACAGGGTGTCTTGGAACAGAAAAGACACAGAAAGAGAAAGAGAAGAAGATAAATTATTCCCCGTGCGTAGTAAGCTTGTTTCTTTCCTCCTCTTTGTGATTCCCTTTACGCAGTGAAATTTAAAACTACCGCTTAAGTTGATTGTGATCATTTTTCTCTTTCTTTTTCTCTTTCTCTCCTCCACCCACCTTTTCGATATTTTCTTGATAAACACCCTGTACAAAGGCTCCCGAACTGTAAGGGCGACGCCCATTTTAAGAAGAAGAGAAAAAGAGTCAAAAGAAACTGGTTAATGCCAGTTTTGTTTTTGTTCTTCTTGAGTTTACCTTACATTCATTGTTAATTTTCATTCACTTACATTTTAGATGGACAGTTGATTGATTTCTTTCTTTCTCTCTCTCTCTCTCTCTCTCTCTCTCTTATACATCTCCCTTCATTCTGTGTATATATATTAGCTAATTCATTTTTTCCAACCATCAATGAATCTTAACTCTCTCTTCCTCTCCTTTCTCAATTAACTTCTTTACACTTTTTACATTTTAATACACAAGTTACAATTTATTTCTTATTATTTTTCTCAATAATCAGTTTTTATAATATTTGTGAATTTTATTAATCGTTTTTTTTTCTTTCTTTTTTGGTTTTTCTTTGTGTTTTTTCACTCTTCAAGGAATCATAATACAACATTGAAACCATTACATCAACATCTACATTTCCCAAACACCAAGATCATCTTTCACCAAACCATCATCAGCTTTAACCACAACACCGACAGCATCAAGACAACAAGGCTTTCTGTTTCTCTATCGATCCCCTTCCCTTTCTCTGTGAATCAATCAAATGGAAGCTTGTTATTTGTACTTCATCAGGTGCTCTGTGTTATTTTACGTTTTAATACTTCAGACATCTGAAGAAGTACATTTATCAAGGCTTAACCGGAGTACATCGCCCATATTATTATCCATCTTTCTCTATCTCTCCAACTGGCTTTTGGTGTTGTTTTTGTCTCAGTTTTTTTTCTATTTCTCTTTTTTTCTCTGTCTGTTTTTTTTCTGTCTGTTGTCTCTCTCCCTTTTCCCCACACTGTCTGTCACACCTTTTTATTTGCTCTCTCTCTCTCTCTCTCTCTCTCTCTCTCTCTCTCTCTCTCTACCTCTGACAGAGGTTCCTCTGTGTTTCTTTATGTGTGTGTTGACCTTGTTTTGTTAACTTTCTTTTCCTTTCTTTCTCTATCTTTTTTTTTCCTTTTCTTTTCGACTCATTTCTTGCTTTTTTCTTTCTTTTGTTTCTTGCTAACATTCTGTTGTTTCGATTGTTGATGCTGTGCCTTTCTTTTCTATCTTTTTCTGTTTTGTTTTTTTTTATCTCTCTCTATCTTTCTCTTTCATGACAATACGATGATGATGAGATGATGAAATGATGATGATGATGGTTTTGGTATTTTTTTCATGAAATTGTTGGATCCTTTTATATGTTCACACCTCAGGACCCTTGGTGGACTTGGTGGTTCCAACTGATTGGTTACAAGTCGTCTCTGGTTTAATGGATTTAGTTAACCGCTGATCCAAATTAAATGTTATCATCAAAATCAAAGAGAAACAAGAAACAAGAAATTAGAAATTAGAAGGAGTAAAAAAAAGTGAGAAAGAAAAAAAAATAAGGAAAGATAACCAAAGTATTGAGCTCAATCATTGATATCACAAACCAGAATAATTTTTAGCTCTTTTTATATTTATTTACCTGCATTAAGGTTCCTTCAAGTTTATATAGATGATAAATACCATAGATTGGAACACAGGAAACTGATGATCCAGTAATTAACCAACCAAGTCTAATTGACCAAGCTGGATATTTATAATTACCCCACTCCAAGTCTTTATAACCAATAATTGCAAAGGATAAAGTTACCTAATTGTGATGCAACAGAAAAGATTACAATAATTAATATATTTATTGTTATCTTTCTCGCTAATCAAACATATTCACACATACACTCACTCTCCCTCTCTCTTGGGGGTTGCCCTGATTATAACAATTACTATGATTAGTATTTTAATTGTTTAACTTGTAAATTAGATAACAACAAAAACTGTTTACCAACAATTTCATCCAGCTATTGAAATCCATGTGCTTGATTGAATTTATCTTGAACTATTCACAAACAGTTTCTATGTCTCTCATCTCTTCGATAGTTCATTCATTATTCATAGAATTTCTTTGTTTTAATTATGTTCAACTAATTATTACTCAAAAATTTCTATCATTTTTTGTGAATGGATTTGGTTTCAATTTGAAAGAAATGAAAGTCTAGGTATAGTAACGCCATCTATTGATAGTAATTATTATTACTATTGAACAAGTAACTCGACTCTAGAAATAGTCTTTTTTTTCATTCCAAAACTTAATCATCACAATTAACTGATTGTGAATTTAATTAATTTATATTTTTCTCTACTTACGGCAAGAAATATTGGACTAATGTAGGTCCAACAGGTTCTCCAAAAAATTCCAGGCATATATCCAAGCATCTCTTTAATTTGGAGTGAAAATCTATTGGCCCCTGAGAAAGGAAAAATTGAACCAATTAGTTAATTGTTTCTACAATTAAGTTAAACTGATTATTTACCATAAAACCAGCAAATTGCAACTGACTCAATGAAAACAATAAATAACAATGGGAAAGTTGCTCCATAAGTGTCTAATAGTTGAACAACATAATTACCACCCTAAAATGAGAAATTTTTTTTTATCACAATTAAGTTGATAATAGTTGACATAATTGATTCGTTAATTTATTAATTGTTACACTTACATAAGTGGTTGTTGGCAGTGCAATTAAAAAAATGAAGGTTATCAATATGACCACAAATATTTCACGATTTTTTCGTATTGTTTGAGGATATTCATCACAAATACCAGTAATCAAGGCTTCTAATCCACCAAACTATCAACAATTAACACACAAAAAATCAAGAAATTAACTTTTCTCTCCTTAATTAAATCTTAAATTGTACTCACCGTACTATCTAAACCTAAAGTTATCAGCATAATGAAAAAAAGTACCGCCCAAAAGGGTGAGTATTGCATAGTTGCTATTGCCTCAGGATAAACAATGAAAACTAAACCAGGACCTTAATTGTTACCATTTGAAAAAAAGCAAAAAAAACGATCAAAAACCAACAATTAAATTAAATTGTAATCAAAATGAAAGGATAGAAAAAAATCCGAATACATATGATCGATTTTTCTTGTTTAAAAAATCGATTCATGGAAAATCGATTTTCAGTCTTTCTCATCAATCAAAATAATTGGAACAATTAAAAAAACAAAAGCTGATTAACTTACCATGAGCAACCACATTACTAACATCCTTATTCATTACATTGGCCATGTAACCAAGAACCGAGAAGATAACGAAACCCGCCATGAAACTGGTTAAACAATTAACTGCACTTGTAAAAAGCGCATCCCTAATTGTAAAGTGAACAATTAATTTGATTCAGTTAATAAGTGATTAACATGCATCGAGTAATTTACCTGAGGCAATTATTATCAAATTTATTATAACTTGACAGGGCTAATAAAACACCAAAACCAGGACCAAGTGAGAAAAATATTTGAGTAGCTGCATCAATCCAAACCTGAAGTTAAGGAAACAATTAAGTTAATTGTTTTGTTTAATCTTTTACCTAATCTGATAACAATTTACCTGAAGTTCAAGTAGTTTATCCCATTGAGGGTAAAGGTAATACTTGATTCCTTCACCTGAACCTTCAAGGGTAATCCCTCGTATTAGAAGTACAGTAAGAACCACATAGGGCATCGTAGCGGTGATCCAAACCGCCTTGGGAATGGCAATTGATAGGAAATAATCAATTAATCAGTTCAATTAATCAGAATACAGAATAAGTTAAAACGATTAACTCACCTTTCCAGAACTTTTAACTCCCTTCCAAAGGGAGAAATATACTAAAATAAATACCAATGCGAGGCACAGAGCTAATGAAACCTTAACTGGACCAATGTTATCGATTCCGGTTGATTCGTGAATTTGAAGGACTTGACGGCTAAATTGTGATAATTAAATTCTATTAGATTATTTATCATTCACTTTATTCAGTTAGTTGATTGTGAATGTTGCATGATGCTTGTGATTAACAATGAATTTTCAATTATAATTGTTATTCGTGAGTTATATTCATGTTTAAATTGCAATTGGCTTAGTTATTTGTAGTCACATAGTTAACAATTGATGAAGATGAGGATGAGGATGAATTACCTTTATACTTTTGATACTAATGATGATGATGATGATGATTGTTAATTTAGTTTTTCAATGATATATTTCAAGTCGTTAGTTTTTAATTTTCAGATAATCAAAAGTTTTGTTTCAAATTTTGTTTCAATAAATCAAAATAATTCAATTCAATTCAATTGGTTATTTGAATGTTTTTATTTTTATATAATTTTCAATTTGATTGATTGATTTATTTTGATTATATGATGAATATAAATAGGAAAATTTTTTTTTTTTCATTATAATGATGATGATGATGGTAAGAAAAGGTTGAGTTAAGGTTAATCTGATTGTGATTAAAGTTGAAGTCATCTTTTTTTTGATGGTTAAATATATGATCATCACCTTTATCATCCTAATCATCTTCACCTATAAGGTGATAGTTAAATGTTACTTTATCATCATCATCATCATCATCTTTGAACAATAAATGATATTTGCTACAAAAGTTAAGTGTTAACTATATAAATATGTTCAGGTAAAAGTTTCAGTTGAGTAATGAGACTCTACCTGTCATCATCATCATCATCATCATCATCATCATCTATATACAGGTAATATTATTCAGTAGACAGAAAGATAATGACAATTTATTGAGTCTATCGTTGAGATTTATCATGTTGAGATGAAGTTTGTTGTTCCTTCATTATAACGGATAAAAATTTCATCCTCATCTCATGAAATTTCATTTATATCCCATGAAAGGAAAACCATTGACAAGATAAACTGACCAATAGGTGTGTGTATGTGTATGTAAGGGAGAGGATAATGAACAAAAAGGTAGATTAGAAAGAGTAATATGAAAAAAGTGACACTTCTTACTTGAAAAACTCTTCTGCTGGACTGATGACCGATTGAGATGAATTGATTGACCCTCGTTCCTTGAGTGTCCGGCAATTTGGTGTGTTCCAAGTGTTGTTACAACTTGTCCAGGGAAGTTCAGAATTGAATGAAGCGAAAAGGTAATAAACAGCCCAAGCGATTATCGTATTATAATATGAGGCCAGATAAAGATCAATGAAACAAATACCATAACCAATGCCTGGAAATCCCATCAACATCATCATCATGACCATTGGTCAGTATCAATGAGGATAAACAAATTGGAATAAAAAAAATCTTATTAGTTTGATAAATTAACTTTTCCTTTCAATTTACATTTACATTTACATTTCAATTGACTGAGACATCAACAAAACTATTAGATTAAATTAACTGAATCTAATTCTGAGCAATTTGATTGATATCATGATGATTATCATGAAAAAAAAATGACTAAAAATTTAAATGTGAAAACTTTTCAATGAGATGATTAACTTTGATTATGACAATTTGAATAAACCAAATGATCAAATGATTCAGTTTGAAATGTATTATTTTCATTTACATTTGAGTTAATGTTAATTGTAATGTCAATGATAAAATAATCAAATTGATTAAATGATGGTATCAATCAGATTAAGACAATGATGATGACAAGAATTGGGTAACTAAGGTAACTAAACATTTATATTATTTCAATGTGATTAAATGTTAAGGTTTGAGTCCAGTTATAAATTGTTCAAGAGGAATGTCAATGTTTGATTGTAATTGTAACATCAACAATTAAGACTTTCAATGTTTAATCTTGATCAACATCAACTTATCATTATGATAATAACCAACAACAACAACAAATCAAATCTAATACTCACTCCTTGGAAACCTTATCAAAGTGATAAAATGATAATCATCCTCATCCTCATCATCTTCATATCATCATTATTTTTATCTCCATCCTCATTTCATTTCCATGGTGAATAAATATACATCTAAACGTTGATCATTATATGAGTGATTATATAGATTCAAATAGATTTGTTTTTCTCCTTTTCAAACAATTAACTTGTTCATCGAAATGATTAACTATTAATTAACTAATTACCTTTCATTATGGGACAGATATTTTTCCATAAAGTTAAACATCCACTTCGGTAATATTGACCCAAAGCTAATTCCAGGTAAAACAAAGGTAAACCTCCAAATATTAGCATCACCAGGTAAGGAATAAGAAAAGCTCCTAGAAAAGGGAATTGAGAGAGAGAGAGAGAGAGAGAGAGAGAGAGAGAGAGAGAGACAATAGGAAGATAAAAGATGAAGATGATGATAAATTGTCATGATGAAGGAATGATTCATGTAAGATAATAATGATAACATATTGAATTGTTTCCTGAAGGTAAAGAAACACAATAATGTAAAATGAGCAAGAAAAAGAAAAGTTTTCTACTTTTTTTGTTCTCTCTCGAAAAGAGGAAATGATAAATCAAATTTCCTCTGTAATAAAAGACGATCAAGATGAACTTACCTCCACCATTTCGATAACAAATGAATGGGAATCTCCAAACGTTTCCTAAATCAACGGCAAATCCAATAACTGCCAAAAGAAATTCAGTCTTCTTATCCCAAGTTTCCCGTTCAGGATCAACCAAAGGTCTTGATGTTTTCAGATTTCCAATTGTATTTGTATTGCTTGTTATTGAGGTTGTTGATTGATAATCATGGTGATGATGAGAGGCAACAATTGATTTATCAATTTCTCGAAATGCTGTGAATAAACTGCTCTTAGAACTGGTCGATCTTGTTAGATCAAATTTAGCTGTTCCACCACCACCACCACCACCACAACCTCCACTCTCCTCACTTAGTAAACAATCAGTGGCATTTGGTAAATTATTGTCATCATCGTCATCGTCATCGTCGTTATTGTCATCATGTTCATTATTTTCATCATGTTTGTTGTTATGATGATAAACACTTTTTGTTTTACTTTGATTAACAATTGATTTTGTTGTTGATCCTGATAATTGAGGTGATGAGATTGATGATAAATTGTGATGACTTTGTTGATTGGGTTTAATTACAGTGGTTGAAATTTTACCATCAATTAGTTCAAGTTTTAAATCAACATAAGCTTTACTTGGACCTGGTATTGTTGTTGATGTGATGGTTGTTGTTGTTATTGTTGATTTGGTCTTTGATGGGTTTACTGTTAAAGGTGAATCAGGATTAGGATTATCTGTTGATCCAATGAATTTACTTGATGATGAGGTTGACATAATTTCTTGTTTGTATGTGTTAAGTTATCACAATGAAATAAAACAAAACAATTGATTTCTTATTGTTCACAGGGATTTTATTTCATCATCGTAATTGTTATTGTTTGGATGGTGGATTAAGGGGATTAATTGATAAGAAATTGAGAGAGAAAAGAGAGAGAGAGAGAAAGAGAGAGAGAGGAGAGGGAGAGAGAAAGGGTGGAAATGGAGGTGGGAGGATTTAGGAGGAGGAAAAAAGTTATTGACGATTTTTAATTTTCACTGAGAAAGTTAAGATTCGTTTGAAAAAAAGAGAATGAAATGAAATCGTAATTGAGTGAGTGAGAGAGAGATAGTTTGTGAGAGATGATGATGATGATGAGAAGGTGATAAAGATGATTTTATAGGTTTGATAAAGATTTTTACTCAATCAAAGACAAAAGGTTTTTGTCAATCATTAAGAATCAACTTGCAATATGATCAACATAGGGAAACGAAAATCTCACTCCCAGGAATCATCGAGAGTTGAAAATTTACTCCCTGGAGAAAAAGAGAAAGAGAGAAAGAAACAACTGAAGATGATGAAGATGATCCTAAGATGACGATAATGATGATAATGATGATGATGATGGCCTAAAGCATTCCGATTGGCCGAACAAAAATTCTGTTGCTCATCACATGATCTCTTGAATCCTGGAGGGAGTTTTATCGGTGATATTCATTGTTACTGACATATCGATCTCGAGAAAAAAAGTTCATCCCTCCAAGTTGAGCACCACCACCTACTTTCCCTCTCCTCTTATCATCTTCATCCTCCCCCTCTTCATCCTCATCTTCATCCTCATCCTCATCAGCCTTGAAGATATACAATTTTATGAATAAAAGTATCACTGAGCTACAAAAAGTTTTGTGACAAAAAATCTGCAACTGATTTAACATAACGGGAGAGAAAAGAGGAAGATAAGAAAGAGAGATGATTGATTAAAGAAAGAGAAGGAATTTCTCATCATCATCATCATCATCTCTCTCTCTCTCCCTCTCGTATTTTTCCTCTTCTTCATCATCTTCTCGTTATCTTCCTTTGAACTGGGAGTGAGTTTTATCAGAATAATAATATTACTTGTTGCTCTTTATTTTTCTCTTCCTGATAGAGTGAGATACTTTTAATGGTTTCTTCATAGTGATGATAAGGATGATGAAAGATGATGATGATGATGATGATGATGAAAAGGATTGCAAATAAGATGTATAGATCATTTTAATCATCATTGATAATAATTTTCTTCTTCCTGAATTAAATCAACCTCCTTATTCATTACAAACCTGTTGTTGTGGTTTCCATTTGATTGAATGAATTAATATATTATCATTAACTATTCAATTATCAACTGAATTAAATTCATACTTTCATCAAATAAATTGTTTACTGTCAACATTTGATTGTTATCATTAAGATTTTTCTCTCTCTCTCTCTAAATAAAATTATCATTAATTTCAACTTTTTCCCAATCAGAAAGTTGCTCGTCAATTAACTGAATTAGTTAACAAGTTACAATCGATTATCATTGTTTTCAATAATCACAATTTGATTCTTAACAATCGAATGTAATTTAATTCAATTTACTTATGATTCTCTCTCTCACTTTCTCTTGGCTGGTTAAATTGATTGTTATTCGTGATAATTAATTAATTGTCAATAATGAATAAGCATAAAAAAATTCCCAACCCTAACTAATCATTAATGATTAACGTCATTAATTATAACAATTTAATGAGTCAAGTAGATTTCGGTTCAACATCAAACATTAAACAAATTGATTAAATTGTGATCAAGTTGATTACAAGATTAATAATTAAGATTTTTGTTTTTACCTTCTTAGTGAGATATTAAATTGTTTCCCGTAATTAACAGTATCCTTTCAATCAATTGATTAAATTGTTGAGATTTATTTATAATCAAGATTAAGGTTAATTGTTTAAGAGCCGCCGCTTTTAATGATAATCATTATCTCACCAATCAGTAAACAAAATGACTAATTAATTGATGATAAACCTTTAATTGTGTTAAATCAATTGGACGATTCAAATTGCTGTCATAATAATATCAATACAATTTACCTTTAGTATCAGTTAATCAAATTTTAATTTTAATTGTTCAACAATTTAAAGTTCAAGCCTTCGAGTTGTTTGAAAAATTTGATGATAATTCAAATATTAATCAGTTTACCGACGATAATTGTTGATCAATGTTCATCGTTGATAATGTTATTAGCACTTAATTGGTTCTTAATTGTTTGAGAAAATTTTTCTTGATTAAATTAAGTTCTTAGTAAAGTGGTTCCATCTAGCAATTGAAATCGTTACTTCTTAATTGTTTGCAGAGTTTGAGTTAATTATGTTGACAATTAGGTGATTAAAGTTTGAATAAGTGGACAGAAATGAAGATGAATCATTTAAATTGTTGTTTGACTTTGAATATATTAAGAAAGGCTAATCTTAATCATCGAATTGTCATCAAGTCAATTGTTCTGGCTAATTAATTAACTTTTTTAATTGAATATTCAAGATTTAGAATTGAAAGAAGGAGAGAAAAGTTAATAATCATTGATGATAATAACAAAGGATCAATTTAATCAAAACAATCGCCTGAAGGGAATTAACAATTCAATAGTTAACATTTGGCATGATATGATTTCCAGAAATTCCTAAGGTGAATTTATCAATGATAGAAATAAGTTCTGACATCTGAACTGTTCATCGTTTCAATGATCAGCCTTTAAGATACAATTTCATGAGAGTAACAGGAAAAAAAATCTCTAAGTGATTCAACATAATGGAAAGAAGGAAGATAAGAAAGAGATAATATCGAGAAAAGAAAGAGAGATGATTGATTAAAGAAAGAGAAGGAATTTCTCATCATCATCTTCATCATTTCTCTTTCTCTTTCTCTCTCTCTCCCTCTCTCTCTCGTCTTTTTCCTCTTCTTCATCATCTTCTCGTTATCTTCCTTTGAACTGGGAGTGAGTTTTATCAGAATAATAATATTACTTGTTGCTCTTTATTTTTCTCTTCCTGATAGAGTGAGATACTTTTAATGGTTTCTTCATAGTGATGATAAGGATGATGAAAGATGATGATGATGATGATGAAAAGGATTGCAAATAAGATGAATATAGATCAATTTCCCACCTCCAATTTTCCCACTCTGACTTTTATTCAATTGGAGAGATTTGTTCCCTCATTACCAAATAATTTGATTCTCTCAACATTCAATTACTTTAAATTGTAACAATTTAACTTTAATTGTTTAGTTTACATTAAACATCAAAAGGTGGCACCAACAATTAAGGTTAATTATCAATTGGCAAGTATTTTAATAATTTTAATCACTAACCCGTTGTTTCAACAAGAAAAAAATTAAATTAAACAAACATACATTTAAAATTGATTTAATCATCATGAATGATGATTAACAGACAATTAGGTCAATGGTCAGTTGATTAATCATAGTTAACACTTGAAAAGGTTGAGAGAGAATTACAAATTAGTAAATTAGTTAATCATCAAAACCATTGACCTAAAAGTTTTAATCAATCAAAAAGTTTAAAGAAACCAAATCACAACTTTGGTTACAATTTTTTTTTGTAATAATTAAATCAATCACAATAAATAGACAATCAAAATTGATTGTGATGTTTGTTTTGTTTAATCATTAATAGATTGACAAAAAAAATTTACACAATTTAATTGTTTAAAAGGTTGATTGGTTTGATTGATTATATTGTTATTTAAATTGATTGGAAGGGGAAAAATTAACAAAGTTATTCAATGAAAAAAAAAGTTATATGTTGATATTGATTGTGATGATCAACAGTAAATTGTTGATGTTGATTAAGATGATGATGATAATGATGATTTGATTGATAGCAAAAGAGATGCTGATGATTGTTGGCTTAATTGTTGTGTGTTCGTAATTTAATTTAATCCCATTCGGTGGCATATCTTTCACCTTGAACCTCCCTTAAGTAGGTTCGTTGGGGTTGTAATTGTTGATTACGTCGTTGTCCAGATGATGATGATTGTTGATTAAGATGATGATTAAGTTGATGATTAAGATGATGAGATGAATAAGGTGTTCGTCCATAGAGAGGAGCATAAGTATCATACCCATCACCTGATGACATGTAAGGATCCGATTCTATAAGACAATTAAGTTAATTGTCAAGAGAGAGAGAGAGAGAAAAAAAAATTCATCAAGATTTTCATTCAACAAATTAGTTTAATTTCTCAAACAATTAAAAAAATAATCAATTGATCAGTTAATAACTAATACAAATATCTACTCATTGATTTTGATAATTGTCCATTGACATTGAATTTATGATTAGTTAATTAGTTTTGTAATAAATAATTTCAAGGTTTATTATAAATTTCTCAATTGAAATGTTAATTACAATTAGAATGGTTTTTACCATGATTATCATTAACAATTACCATGATTTAAATTGCTCTTTAATCATTGTCAGTAATAATAATAGATTCTAGAAATAGATTGTTCAACAATCAACAATTAATCATCGCAAATGATCATGATGAATGAAAGTTGATTGTTTGTGAAAATAAAACTTGACCATCAACAATTTACTTAATAATTTGAGGTCAATTTAAATGATTTGATCAACAATCAGAATCTAAATAATCAGATTTAAACTTGTTACCTTAACTTGAACTTGTTGTTACCTTAACCTTTAAATACATTTATTAATAATATAAATTACAATTTAATAAATTGTTACAATCGACACGAGCACAAAAAAAAGTTAATCAACTAACCAACAAATTTAATTTTAATTCAGTTAATTTGACTTTTTATCTTGACCTTAAATAATGATAATCAAACTGGTCAAGTTTGAGTTGGTTGGGTAACAATTAACAGATTTGCTGCTTTTGGTGATTAGTTAATTGTCTTAAAGTTTTGTTTTTCCCAATTAATAGTTATTATTAATAACAATTAATAACCGTAGGGTTAAATAGGGTTAATTATTTTTGATTAGTTAATTCATTTCGTAGCAATTAAAGTTCAACAAATGAATATTTTTAACTTTCATTTCACCTTAATAACAATTAACTTTATTATTTGATCAACTAATTGTTGACTAGTTGTTTTACCATTTATCTCACTATCGAATCACAATTTACTCTTACTGGTTAAAATCAAAGTTAATTAATTAACTAATTAAAAGCTTAATGGTTATGATTTATAACCTCACCCAGAAATTTGAAAAATCCAAGGTGATCAAGTTTCGTTTTTTAATCCAGTTCTTAATCGTTACCTCGTTAATTAACAATCTTAACAATCTCAAGGTTTAATTAATAACAGATTAAATTGTTTAAAAATTTACTCAACGATTAGTTTATTGTAATCAAAACGTAAATCAATCAATAGATTAATCAAATTGAAAGTTGATAAAGAAAAAGTTTCATTCAACTTTTTAATTGTTGACATTTTATAATAACAATTAACGTCGATATCAAATCAAAATCAATGTAATGTTATCTTAATGTGTCTTAATTTGATTTCTGTGCGTTGATTAACAATTATTACTCTGAAAGTAATCACATTTTGATCAGCTAATGGAATGTAGTTTACCTTGATTTAGTTTAGCAATTAAACTAATTAAAAAGTACTGACGAGACTGATGATCAAGTTTTCCTTAACAACAATTTATTTTCACAATCAAAATCAATGGTCACAATTAAGGAAACAGGCAAACATAAGTAAGAATCAGCTTAGAAGTCAATTGATTTGGTTGATCGAAGAAGTGAATTAGCTAATTGTTACACTTACCAAAATTGGAATCATAGTAAGAGTAATAAGATGATCCACCTCGATATGGATTAAAATTTGAAGATGGATTAAAAAGTGAATTAAGATAACCAGAGGAATGAGATTTTCTCATGTCTTGTAATGAACTTAATCCCAAGTTACCGGGTGAATTACCTCCGTTTGTGGACTTACGAGGTTCACGGGGAACGGCAAAGTGGGACACTCGAGCTTGCATTCCACAATAATATGGATCCTCTGTAGAAGGAAAAAAAACCAGAAACGAATTGAATAAGGAAAAAGTTGATTCGAATCATTTTGGACATTTCATCTTCGAAAGAGAAACGAAAAAAAAAACTTTCACTTTTTTCTTTCGAAAGTGAAAATTTTTCGTTCTAACGATAACCGTTCTTACCATAATCGACTTCCTTTTTAGGTGTGGCAACCACACTGTTCGATTGTACATTGTTATTATTACTCGATTGACTTCGACCTCCTCGAACTAAACTTTTGAACATTGAAGGTATTTTTTTCTCCTTCGTTTTCTTAATCTTGGCAAAATCTCTCGGCGGTAATTCTGGTGGTTTAGTATCACTTCCCTTTTGATTACTAATAACACTATTATTATTATTACTTGGATTAACGGAACTATGATTAACATTATTATTATGATTAACCAAAAGTGGATTAATTGGTTTTCCGTTTTGAGGTCGTTTACTTGTCGGTAAACTTGGAACTGAATATGGGTCTTCATCTTGTTCCGGTTTGGTGAAGACATTGACAAACTTGGGTACATTTTCATTTCGATAGCAAACTGTTAATAACAACAATAGAAGGAGGAAAACAAAACAAGATTAAGGATTAGTGGTTAAGGATTAACTATGATTATCGTTATCATCTTATTGTTTGAGTTGCTCACCTTGTTGGGGTAATTTTGATTTAAGCATATCAAGGGCGACAATGTTAATCACCATAATCCAAACTGGAAGGTCAAGTACATCGGTTGCATCTTTAACGAAAGCGATCACGTTGATACATTGATTTTCAAGCCTTCGACGATCAGGATAAGCTGATCTTAACTCTTTACTTAATCCGGATTGAAATTTCTTCATATCAAATAATTTAACCGATTTCTCGAATTCAAGTTCACCCGAAAAGTCCAATATCTCTTTGGATATACTGTTTGATTCTCGATCATAACCTCGAATGAAAACATCACAATGTGACATTCGTTTGATTATAATATTACCGAATTCGTCCATTTTGATTCGAACTCCTTTTTTTGATAGAAAGAAGAAGAAAAAAAGTTCTTATGAGATTAGAAACATTTTCTCAGGAAAATATCGATCAACTTACTCCGCCAATGTGATCACGAACTCTTTTAACCAATGGATCTCTACTTGGAGCTCGATCGAAACCATTTAGTCCAATTTTAAACCCATCGAAACCATCATCTGATCCCGATACCGTTAGAACTGGGACTCGAGCATAAGCTTTGGCAATTCGACGATTTCTTTCCATGCAAATAATTTTACCCCAAATTTCATCGTCAATTTGTTCCCATTTTTTGAGAATCTCTTGAATATGATCCTAAGAAAAAGTCGAGAGTAAAAAAAGTCCAACAACAATTAGAACCCAAGTAATAATCATGAACAACATTCATATACAAACTTGTATATAAACTTTACACGTTTCGAATGGTTTGAAAAAACTTTTAAATTCTTTCTACTTGATTAGATAATAACATTTAATTATTATCGAAATTCACAATTGAGCATTTATATAAATACTACGTGTTGGCACGTTTAAATATCTCAATAATTTGACGCGCTAATAGTTAATAGGTAACGTTTTTTACGTGAACATATTTATAGCCCTTGTTGAGGTAAAATTAATCATTATTAGTTTTCGGGTATTGGTTTTAAAATAGTTAATAAACTAAACCAAACTTTTTAATCTAATCCAAAATAATCAACAACAAAAAACAACAACAACTTGACCTAAATTTGATTGTGATGATAATAATACGATATTAATACTAATCAAACTTTAAGATCAGTAAAAGTTTTTAAAACTTTTTTTTTCTTTTACTGGTCAACAACAACAACAACAAGGTAAATCTTCAGGTCAATCAATAAGAATCAACTAACAGTTAACATAACCGAAACAATTAACTAATCTAAAAGTTTAATGTATCAGTTTACAGAGAAATTAATTACGATAAAATCAAAGTTAATCATATGATTAGTTGATTGTGTGTGAGGGAAAAGCTAAAAGTCAAATACAACAACAACAAAAAAAAGGTAAACAAACAGTTGAACATCAATAAGATTTTAAAAGGATTTGAAATAACAATGGAAACAATTGGAAACAACAATTAACTAATTTACTGAAAAAAAAACGTTTCCAACGAAAGTGAATTTAAATTAATCATAATTGTAGTGATGATGATTAAGGATTATGATCATTTTGAAGGTAATGATGATGTGAATTAGGACCTTGGCCTTATTTTTATTGTAACAAAAACCCATACAAAACCAATGATGATCATCATGTTGATCATATGAAGCGTTGGTGTGTCCAGATGATGATAAGCTCATCCTCATCTTCATCTTCATCTTAATCATCATGATTGTCCTTTAATCTCATTCATCTTATTTCATCATTTGCCCTCCAAATGGCCCTTGAAACTGTTACCATATTAAGTCAATTAACTTAATCTTTGATTCCCTTTGTCTCTCTCAATCTCACCCACTAATCGTTTAAATTGTTTATTGTTGATTATCAACAATCAAGGGTATTCAAATAAAGACACCTACATCTACTTAATAATACAATCAATTTGATTAACGGTAAACAACCAACACTCACTCAATTTAATTAGATAATAAGCTTTCAAATGTTGATTATTGTGAAAAGTTAATTGTTGGTATGAAATAATTATGTGAATTTGTTTGTACTGTTTTCATTTTAATTGTCCTAAATCAAGTTAATTGCCTTTGATTAATCAAGGTTACAGTTAATTTTCTTGCTGATTGTATTTACACCTTTTTTTTGTTAATTTTCAGCACCCGGAAATTAATCATTTCCTAATTAGATTTTAATTCTCATTGATAATTTCTCATCATTATCAACAGATAATCAGGTAATTAAAAGGTTTTGATTAGTTGATTAGATGAAAAAAAAAAGTGAAAGTTAATTGTTTGTATTGTTAATTGAGCTTCTATTTTAATCACCATTAAGGCAATTTGATGACTCGCCAAATCAACACCTTAAATTGTTGACAATTAAACTGTTTATTAGTTTAGTTGTGGCTAAAAATTGTCTCACAATTAACTATCAATATGACATTTAATTGTCAATTAACAATCAATTGATCATTGATATGGTTACTTAACCGTGATGATTGTTTTTAATTGGTATAAAAAAAAGGGTTTAATTGTTGGAAAATAATTTAAAGATAGCAAAGTGAATCAATCAACCCAACAATTGAAAATATAATAGTAACAGTATTTAACTTAATCATTTACAATTAACCATTCAAATCAATGGTATTGATAAAAATGAGACTAAAAATTACAATAACAATTACAATTAATTGCTAATCATAATAATAGAAACCATATTGAGAGAGATGGAAATCAATTTGAAATTATAATCACAATTAATATAACCACCTAAAGTGAACAATTAACTAAATTAACTAATTTAACATATTAATTGTTAAAGGTTAGGAAATGATTACTTAAATTATGATAATTTAGGACAACAATCAAAAAGATATATAAATAAATTAGCCAGCAATTAATAAATAATTTTAATGATAAAATCAAATTGCTGTAAATCAAATCACTAAAGGGCAACTTTTAATTCATCACAATCAACAGTTAATTTAGTTAACAGTGTAACATTAAATGTTGATAATAATTTACTTTTTCTTCATACTGATTAACTTAAATAAATTGCTGAAGAATCACAATTAACAATTCGAGAAAGTTAATTAAATTACTTTTCCATTTAGAAGGGAGAAAGTTAAATTAACAATCTTCCTGGGTCATTGATAGTAATCAAATTAAATTGTAAACAGCAACAATTAAAGTAAATCAATGAAAGAAACCAAATCAAGTTAATTGTTGAACCGAAAGTAAACAAAAAGTTGAAAACAATTAGACAAATGAGAGCTGAAAAAAAAACAACAGAAACAATCAAATGCAACTGAATCAATGATCAGCTAATTGAAAAGATTAACTATCTTTATCTTAATCAGCAATTAGATTTAATTGTTGACAATTAAGATAATGATTAGTGAGTAAAAAACTTTGTAACCAAATCTTTTTATACTGTTGTTGGTGTTATATAAATGGTTACATTTTGAGGTTTGGATTTGTTTTTTTTTCTCGGATTTGTGATTACAGATTAAGAGAGATGATTAAGGTGATTAAAAGGATGATTAAGATGATTAGGATGATGATGTTCATCTTACCGAGACAAAAGTATCAAAATAATCCCAAATTTCATCTTCATCACAAAAATGATGATCTTTTCGTCTTCTCGTTTGCGAGAAGATATTTCGTAAAATCCTTTTTCTACTGATCCACATTGATTAACTAATCACAATTAACTTATTATTTTTTTTTTCGATCACTAAACAATTGATGATTATGATGATATCGATGAAGATAAAGTTGGTGATGACAAGATGACAAGATGATGGAGATGGTGATGAGGAGAAAGACTTTTTTTTTCGGAATCGTATTGAAAATTCAATGGACTAGAAAATCATTTTGTCAATTGTTGAATAATCACTTTTATCATGGATTAATGATCAACTGTGTTAAACTATGAAAATCAATGACATGATGATAATAAACTTTTCTTTAAGTTAATCATTGTCATTAAATTAAATGATTAAAGAATCACAATCAATAAATCATAAGAACGGTATTGGAGATAATTGAATGAAATGGAAACTGTCAATGTTAATTGTTTTGAGAATTCACTTGAATTAAATGGTTTTTTTTTGTTTCTTCTTCAATTAGTTTGGCATAATAGTCAAACTGTTGATTTAATTATTGTGAATGATCAGTTAATTGTTGAGATTAATTGATTATATTGTCGCAATTAAGGCAAAAGTTTGAGATTTGCCTTTTTCTAAAAAATTCTGATTAGGATTCATTTTCATTTCTATTCAGACAGAAAACAAAACTAAGTAGGTGATGAGCAATGATTATGATGATAAAAATGATGAGGATGATAAAGATGAGAGAGAGAGAGAGAGAGAGAGAGAGAGAGAGAGATTCTTTTAACCTTCTTTCATTATTTTGTCTTCTTTTGGCAAAGTCCTTCAACATCACCAGCGTATTAGCACCAACCTATTATCTTCAACTTTCTCCATCATCATCCTTATCATCTTTATCATCTCTCTATCTTCTTCATCACCTTTTTCTCTTTCTCTTTTCTCTCTATCTTGTCTTACCCTGTCTCTTTCTTCCTGATCCGTTATGTGAGCATCAAACAAGTTTGACAAAAAAAATTCTAACTGTCATAATCATCCTAATCACCATCATCATCATCATCATCATCTTTTGTTATCTTCAAGTTAGGTCATCATCATCATCATCTTGTTTACCTTTTCATTGTTTATCACCTTTTTTTATATAATATCATGAAAACTTGAAAAAGTATATGAACTTTTACCTTGGATTGAAAAGCTTCAAACAAAAATTGAACATCATTCATATTCAATGGTTGGAAATTGAGATTTTTGAATTATCATCATTTATTAATATTAATTTTCTGTCTCAAATCAACAATTTAAATTGTCGTCATCTCAATAACCTAATTCCTGGTTACTAATAATTTCTCATTTTATCTGATTCTTATACTTTTCCGGTAGCTGGTAAATAATGTAAATAATCATGATGATAACAATTAAACTTAATTGTGATTGAATTTTTTTTCTCTTCTCTTTCAAGAAGAAAAAAATAATTACTAATCAATCTGATTGTTATGATGGAATTGAATAAAAATAATGATTGATTGAGATGATTAACTAATCATTATTGATATTTAATAGTTTAACTGTCCATCTAATTTTTTATATCCAAGGTGATTAATTGTTATTTTTGTAAATAATTTGTTATAACAATTAAAATTAATCCGGAAATTGTTTCAATTGAATCAAATCAGCTGATTATTGATTGAAAATTAAACAAATTAACTCAAATCTTTTATAATGATTGTTTCATATTATAATTGTCAACAAAACTATGATTTATATGGTAACAATTAAGGTGTGTTGTTGATAGTTAATCTAAATTGTTTGCTGAAAGTTAATTGGTACTAATCAATGAAATTATTATTTGGAAAAAATAATTTTCAGATGATCATTATCATGTAGGTTTTACAATTAACTTTCTTATGGATTTGATATACAACAATTAAATTATATCAATTGAATAATCAATATCATTTCACCTTAATTGTTGTGATGATCAATAAACTTTAACAAAGTTAATTGTTGCCGTAAGTTAAATCAAAAAGGTGTGTACATATTATAAGTATTGACAGTTGAACGAGTTGACACCAACAATTAAATAATTGTTTAATCATTAAATTTGCTTCAATTGTCATCATGTTAACATTAGATGAGAGAAATATAATTATGACAACAATTAAGAATTAGTTAATTGGCACTTACTGTGTAAAGATTTTCCTTGTCATACCAAATATCCTCTTCAACTGCATAAGCATCATATGGATAATCAATGTCACTTTGTGATCGAGATAAAATTTTACGTCTACTGATCATAATTAAAACTTTTTAATTGTGATTAAATTAAAGTTGATAAGATGAACTTGATTGTGAAAATAAAGGGAGATAGAGAGAGAAAATCAATTTTCAACAACAATTAAAACTTTCGGACATAATATAAAGTTTCCGTTGCTCATTAATTGCTTGAAATAAGAGGATAATTAAGGTAAACAATTTAAATCCAATTGGTCAGTTGTCTTTTGTTTCTTGTATTATTGTTGGTTGGACACTGAGATTTGATAATCCGAGGATTTAATGGTTAATCACAATTAACTTGATGATAATATTGGTATTTAGTTAACTGAGATGTGTGTTAGTTTAATGGTGGATGAAACAATTAAATTAAACAAAATTAAAGCTTTTTGATTAAATTATAAAAAGAAAAAAAAATTTTCGATTTCAAGTTTTCTTTGCTTTGGTCAAACAGCAACAGGTAAATAAGTCCAACCAGAATCGATGATGATGGAGAAAGAGAGAGAGAGAGAGAGAGACGATGATGATGATGATAATGATGATAAGTGTAAAGCTTAAAGAAGGAGGATGAAAAGGGGAGAAATGAATTCGATTGAGAGAGAAGATGAAAAATGAGAGAAAAAAAGTTTTCTCTTCTTTTCATTACCTTTTCTCTCTCTCTTTCTCCTTGTAACGATTTTCCCGCCTCCTCCTCCTCCTTTATCATCATCATCATCATCATCGTCATTATCATCATCTCCCTCTTCATCTTCCTCCTTGAAAAAAGGGAGTAAATTTGAAAAGCAATTAAACCATATCGGAAAAATGGTCCCTAAAAATGTAGGTCAAAAAACGAGTTCTAAAAAGTTCTGAATTCGAGTTCGGACTTCATCACCTTGTCTTTCATCATTATCATCCAACTTTCCCTTTATTCATAACGAGGATGAAGATGAAGATGATGATAAGGATGAAAAGTTTATTAATCAATTTGATTTATCGATAATGATTGGTTAAAGTTTCCGATTCCATGTTAATCAAAACTAATCAACTAATCAACTAATCAGCTATTTTTTCATACCTTATTAATTACACATTAGAATTACCTTGATTACCTTTGATTTGATTCACAATTTAAATATTATCAGTTAATTAGTGGTTAGTTTGAAAGTTTTAATTGAAAGTGTTACAATTTAAAGTCAATACAATAATAATAATTAAATGTTTCTCTCTTGATTATCGTTTAAATTGTTGACATTCAAATTTAATTGTAATGAAAATAGATAATCCGATTTTGAAGGTTTTCGTTACGATTTAAATTGTTTATTAGATTAATTTTGTTTTTAATTGTAATCGTATTAATGTGTACAATTAAGAAGATAGAGAATTAAAAAATTGGTGTGAAAAAAGTGTTAATTACAATTACAACAATTTAAATTGTTTCTTGATTGTTAAAAAAGACGGACAATTTGAAGTGAGAAAAAAAAAGTTTGAGGTCAAACAATTAAGGAAATGTAAATAATAATAATTTTGATTAACTTTCGGTTAATTTTTAATTACATTTTGTTTTCTCTCTTTCATTAAAAACTGATTTACTTGATTATTTACCAACTTGCACTTGATTATAATCACAATTTAATCACAGTTGATTGTTGATGAATACGAAATAATAATTTCTAATTTTTTTCTCTCTGCATCCAATTAATGCCAATCAATTTTAATCACGTTGCTAATCAACTTTACTTTTTTTTTCGTTAAATTATTATTAAAAGTTGTGAGTTAAGTGATTAAAAAGATTACGGGTTTAGTAACAATTTAATAAAAGTTGGTTAGTTAATTGTGCAAATAGTTAATTAGTTGAGGTTAACTTTTTGTTTTCCAATCAAACTTTTTGGCTCAAATTACAAAATCCAATCCAATCAATTATCGACAAACAATTAACAAACAAATAACAAACATTGATTAACAGTTACACTGATCTAGACAACTGAGAAGTTCAAATAATTGTGATTTAATTTGTTGATCAACAATCAACTGATTGTTGATCAATATTGAATAACAAAATTTTCAAGATCCAAAACGATTGGTGAGAAAATTTTATCAATCGAATCAGTTAAACTTTTTTTTCTCTCTCTCAGTTGATTTAATCATATCAACAATAAACTCTCTTGTTGATTAATATCAACAATTTAAACTACAATTAACTGTAAATAATTAAGAAAAGATAATTAATTGATTTATACGAAATTCGATAAAAGCGACATCTATTGGCGGCGAAAAGAAACTTTTGATCATCTGTTGTTTTCTTTGAAAATTGAATTGTTTTACTTTTTGTTACTCCTTCTTAATTGTTGATTTAATTGTTATTATGTTATTTCTAATTGGTCTTGGTTTATGTGATTTAACTGATATAACTGTTAAAGGTCTCGAGATTGTCAAGAGATGTGATCATATTTACCTGGAACATTATACTTCAGTTTTGTATAATGTATCTGATAACATGGAGCAACTTGTAAGCTTTTATTTTCCTCTTCAAAAAAAATTAATTGTCTTTAATTGTTGATTGTTTAAAATTTTTTTCTCTTCTAATTTTCTCTCTATCTTATCTCTTTATTATATATTGTGTCTGGGTCATTTTTTTAAGGAAAAATTTTACGGAAAAAAGGTGATACTTGCTGACCGGGAAATGGTTGAAAGTGAAGCGGATAAAATTCTAGATGATTCGGTTAATAGTGATGCCGCTTTTCTGGTTGTTGGTGATCCTCTTGGGTAATTGTTTAGATTTTCAATTTCTCCATCATTTGTATTATTGTTCATTGTTTACTAATCTATGGTTTGATTGTTTTTCCTTTCAGAGCAACAACTCATACAGATTTAATCTTACGAGCGATCCAACGGAACATCAAGTACAAGATCATTCACAATGCCTCCATTATGAACGCTGTCGGTTGTTGTGGCCTTCAATTATATAATTTCGGTGAAACTGTCTCTATCCCACTGTGGACCGATACATGGAAACCAAATAGTTTCATGGAAAAAATAATCTCCAATAAATCCAGAGGACTCCATACACTTTGTCTTTTAGGTTTGATATCCTAATAGAATTATCCTTTTTTCATTTTCCATCTATCACAAAATCCTTTATTTAATAATCTATTTTTTTTCCCGATATTCTTTGATTTTTGTCAGATATCAAAGTTAAAGAGAAATCACTTGAAGCCATGATGAAAGGTAAATTGGTTTATGAACCACCACGATTCATGACAGCCTCCCAAGCAGCTTCTCAAATTGTTGATTGTTTCAAAATGGAATCAAACACAATCGGTGTCACTGGCGATTCTAATATTGAACATTCATTCAGCCCAAATAGTTTCTGTATTGGTCTTGCTCGTGTTGGTTCCGATGATCAAACCATAATTAGATGTAAATTGTCTGAAATGGTCGATAAAGATTTAGGTAAACCTTTACACTCCCTAGTGATTGAAGGTAACCTACATCCTCTTGAGGAAGACATGTTAAAACTTTACACCGCTGAATAAAAAAAAACACTAATCATGAGAAAACGTGATAATCAACAGTTTAATTGTTGTTGTAATGAATCAAAGTGTTCAAAATCCGCAAGATTTCAAGATGATTAACGATCAAGACATTTATATATATAAATGATTTGGAAATACAATTGGAAACCCAAATAAGCTAATCGGTAACCGTTATTATTACCTTTCCATACTTTGATAATCTTAAATTCAAATCACACAATTTATCAACTATTACAATCATCAGAAAAAAAAGAGATCCATGATTATGATACAGGAACACGAACAAAAAAAAGTTCAATGGATTTTGATTCTGTTTGATTACCTGTTGATTTTTTTATCTGTATGAAAAAAAAACCGATACTGAATCAATTGGTTTAATTTTGATATAATCACGTTTCTTGATATTTCAACAGCAATTGATAATTTAAGTTATTATCACCAATACAATCAACGAGGAAACAAATTTACTCAATCAATGTGAATGAAAAAGTGTCGAAAGTTAAAATGTCCAACAATTAATATAACAAGTAAGTTGATTTAAGTAATTTTCTTAATCATTTTCATTTGGATTAAATTTTTTTTTTAATCAGTCAAATAACATTTTCATTATTACTATTAACTCATTTTATTGGTGTATCATTATTACATTTAAATTGTTAATCACAAATTCAGTGTTTCCGTCAAGTGCAAATTATTCAACAGTAACAATTTAAATTGTTTTCATTTTCTATCAATAATTATTGCTTTTTAAACATCTAAATTGTTGATAATTTATTTTCTTTTTTTTATGATTATTGATTAATATTATTTTCTCTTTCTAATTAATAGGAAAAAGAAAAAACTTTTTTAATTATCATTGGAAAATAGTGATTCTTCATGGTGGGAACATGGATTTTCTGGTTTCAATCGGATTCTAATTTCGGGCAAAGGAGTTCCATCCCAATCACCCTGAAAGGAACAATTTGAATGAAGAAAAAAAAAGAAGAGACAATTAATATTATGATGGAAAAACAATTAGATATTCAAGAGATAAAGAGAAACTTACTGGAAATAAAAGACCATCCGAGCGACGACACTCCATAGAAAGTGGACTAAGCGAATATAATTTGGCTAAAAATCGAGAACGATAGGGTGTCCATTGAATAGAATGATAATTGTCGGCAACTGATTGACCTGAGGAAGTATTTTGACCTTCGTTTATTTTCAAGTAATCAAAGTAACTATTCAACACGGAAAGATCAACCGACGATTTACAAACTTCCAACGACGATCGAGGATAATAGTGCATATAATTGACACACATCTCATCTGAAATACCATAACCACCGAGTGTTATTTTCTCCCGTTTCGATGTATCATAAAGACAATTGTTAATGAGCACATCACCGGGTAACAATTGGATACGATGTTTAAGTGCACGAATCTCTTGAAAATGGGCAGAATAATGATTATCTCTATTTAATTCAGCTAATTCAATGCCACCTCTAAAATGTGAGGTCCAAACTTTACGACCAGTTAGGTGGGTATGCAACTGAGATGCGAAAATTGTTATACCGGTTGAAGGTAAACCGATTCTGGTACATTCAGCTACACAGAATCCCGATAAGGTGAAACCCTCTAAACCGGGAGGAATTGAATTTCTATCCGTATAAGTTAATCCAACCTCAAGAACACCAACATCATGAGTTCTCAAGGTTGGTGTATAATAGAGACGAATACCAGAATTATCTTTAATTGTTGACAATTTCGACGGATTATTATAATGAACTTCCAACATGGCATAAAGTGAGAAATTGTCTCCACCGAAAGGTAATCCAGCCTCTTGTGGATAAGAAAATGGCTAAGATGAAACAATAGACCAGGAGAAGAAAAAACGAAACAATCAATAGACGAATTAGTTAATCGTCCAAGTTAAATTCGTTGATAAGAATTAAAAATCATCAAAGAAAAGGTCTAATAAAAATTGTATAAGTTGAACTTTTGGAAAGTTGGAAATTTGAATTGATCGTAATTGAGACTTACCCCCGCTCCGATAGCCCAAGCCGAGAGCACTTGTTTACATGCTTCCAGAATCGGTGGTTTA